TTTTTTTTTTTTAATCTAATATAATAAATATAATAAATAATTTAATATATAGATATAATAGAAATTATTGATAATTGTGATTTGACGAACCAAAAAAAAAAAGAAAAAGAATAATAACGTTGTTATATATTTGTATATAATAAAAAAAAATATAAATAAATATAAATAAATAATGATTAATTATAATAATAATAAATTAAATAATAAAAATAATAAAAAAAAATAATAAAAAATTAATAACGAATAAATAATAAATTAATGTTATAATACATTTGAACTTACTATAAATGTTTAGAATTAGAATATTGTTTAATATATTTGTATATAATAAATAAATATAAATAAATAATAATAAATTAAATAATAATAATAATAATAACAAAATAAATAATAAGAAATTAATAAAAAATTAATAAAAAATTAATAATAAATAAATAATAAATAAATGCTATAATGTAACACCTTATCAATGATATATATATATATGCTATCGATTGTCAGACTCGTATACAGTATTATAATTTTTACAGATAAATTTCAACTGTAATTTCAATTTGTTCTTTCTTTCTTTTTCTTCTTTTCTTTTTTCTTTTTTGTTCTTTTTATCGCAAAAACCTTATTTACACATCACTGAATACGTCTTCATTATCTAAAAACACGTATTTGACTTTTACTTTTATTCGCGATATCATTTATTCGTAGTCAAATTTCTTTTTTTTTTTTTTTTTTTTTTTTAGAAAAATTTCATTAAACTCATATTCTTTCAAATCATTCAAATTTTACGAATAATTATAATACAAATGAAATACAAATTTTGGTCTCTGTAAATAAGATATTAGATAAAATTTCAATTTGAATTTTACATTTACATGTTACGAACAAACTGTATATATATATATATATATATATATTTAACTTGATTTCCATTAACTATGATCTAATTCTAATCGAAATAACTATAATATATTTTTATTATTACGTGTAATAAGATTTTATTATATTAAAAAATATTCTTGTAAAAAAATAATAAAAATTTCTTTACTCATTCATATTTTTTTTTTCCATCAATTTAAAATACAACAAATTTTTGTTGTGATTAACATTAATTTATTATGAATCAAATTTATGCAAAATAAATGATGCAATATTCGCGGTAAATAAGTAAACAACAAGAAAAACCAAAAAAAAAAAAGAAAAAAAAGAAAGAAAGAACATTTTCTTGTCTAAAAAAAAAAAAATCAATTTATTTTCGGTGACGATTTAATTTATTTAAACGACTAATGACATTTTCTCGTTCGACTTAAAATAATAAAAGAAGAAAAAAAAAATAGAAATTAAATTCACTCGGATAAAAATATTAATGAGAAAATTCAATCTAATTATTATTTATAAGAGAGAAAAAAGTTCTTAGCAATATTATTGGTCGATCAACTTCCGAATTGGTTGATTTATTTCGATACTCTACTACTGATGCAAAATATGCATTAAATAAATTAGAAGAAAAGAGAAGAAAGAAAGAAAGAAAAAAAAAAAAAGATAAAAAGATATTTTACTGTAATTACCTTAACAGTAGAACGATTTAAAATATAAAGTTTTAAAGTTGTGATAAAGCACTCGGTGGGCGTACTTTTTAAACGAAAATTTTTTTTTACAAATTTACAAAAGTAACACACACATTCAAAAACACCACTTGTCTTGAATAAATTTTCTCCTTTTTCTTATAATATCCTTTTTCTTTTTTTTTTTTTTTTTTTTWTTTCAACAAAATTCCAAAAGTAATGAAAATTAAATTGCAGACAGATTAAAAAAAAAAAAACAAAATAACCGTGATTTCCGAATGACTTCTAATTTTACTCTACAACGATATAGATGAATTTTGTACAGTCAACTAAACCAACCTATCTTCCTTATCTCTTATCATTGACTTTCTAATCTGATAATACGCAACTTGTATAAATTCTTTTATTTAAGTAAATAGATCTTTCCAATGCTTTTTTACGTGAACATCGAACACGTGAACGAGATATAGAAGAAAAAAAAGTTAAAAAAAGAAGTAGCACGAAGAAAATGATCAAATTGTTAAGTAATCACGTATACAGTGATATATATATGTATGTATACGTATAAAATATAACAAATATGAAAATAAATATTATATAAAGTATTTTTATTTGTAACCTGACTCGACTAATTAGCACAACCCGTCTATTTGAAATTGAAAAAGTTGTTATAAATATCCATAATATATTATAACGAATGTTAAATTAATTAATTACTAACATAATTAAGATAATTTAATTAATTTATACTTTAACGTAATTAGACAATAGCACGCGTCTAGTAAAATTCGTTATTTACAATCTGTAAACGAAATGTAACATGAGTAACAGATAGAATATTAATTACTTTGATTCGTTATTTGAATGAATACAAATATAATCTATTAATAATCAAATTCTTCACAGAAAGGATATTGAAATAGTAAAAAAAAAAATTATTAATTGAAAATTTCTCTAGTATATATATATATATATAGTAAAATATTATTGATCATTTCATTTTGTCAAAATATCGCTATATATAAAACATTTATTAAACTATTTTTAAATTATCGAAATATGTGAAATGTATATGATAGAAAAGTCGATGAAAAATTAATGAATTTGCCAGCTGGCAGTCGTGACGAATCCAGATGGTTTTGTGAAACGAAATCGAAGAAATGAGAAAATCAAGTATCTAATATTTACGAAAAAAAAAAAAGCAAACCTATGACAATTTGCAATTTATCGATCTTTATAATATTTCATCTATTTATATATAAAATCCTATATTTATAACTTAGCAATTTATCAAATAAAGAATAAAATCGATCAAATGAAAATAAAAATAAAAATAAAAATACTAATAAAATTAATAATAAGAATAAATCAAATCAAATGAAAATAAAAAATAATCGATCTTTATCATATTTCTTCTATTCATATACACAATTTTATAAAATAAGGAATTTAATAAAATTCATATTTAAATAATATTCAAATTACAAACAAAAAAATATTTAAAAATCTTTGTCTGCATACTCGAATGAGTTCGATAACGCTGCTGCTTTCGATGGATTTTTTTTTTTTTTTTTTAATTGCTATCTAGATACTACCTTCGACTTTGAAGTAATTTATTATTAGACGTTTCATTTCTTTTTTTCTTTTACTTGACAATTCTTCTTATCTTTTACATTTATCTCACATTTAATTTATATAACTAAAGATACAATACACACATGTACACTTATATATATATATATATATTTAGATTTAAACTTAAAGATTTAAAATACGATTATATATGTCTAATGTATGTCAAAAAGAAAAAAGAAAAAACAATGCGATTTAAATATTAAAATGAAATTACTTAAAAAAAAAAAAGAAAAAAGAAAATAAAACAAATAATTCATTAATTCTCAACTACTCATACAATTTTCAAAAGAATTAATCATTTTCAACGTTTCATAACAGTATTACATTTAAATAAAAAAAAATATACATATATATATATGCAAAGAAAGTGAGAAAAAGAATCAAAGAATGAATGAATGAAAGAAAGAAAGAAAGAAAGAAAGAAAGAAATAAAGAGAGAATATATAAAAGTGAGTAAGAAGAAAAGATGAACCCAGACGAGGGTTTTGCCTGGCTGGCTTGCTGGGCTGGGGGCTGGGCTGGGCTGGGTTGACTGGCTGGGCTGCCTTACACGAAACGCCGTTCAATTAAAGCGTCACCAACCGCAGAAAAAGTTTTATATGAATGCTTTTCATTACTTTAGCGAACTTATTAAAACCATTTTCTTTCGTGAACATTAATATCCTCGTCAGAGTTTCGTTATCAAAACCACGAGACCCATTCAAGATCCTTCGCATAATTGTATCTTTCTCTTTCTCACTTAGTCACACTCACTTATTCTTCTCTTTTCCCTATCTCTCTCTCTCTATTTCTCTATTTCTCTATTTCTCTTTCTATTTCTGTACATACAAGAGATAGGAAGAGACAGAAACGTGCACTTTACCTCGTTAACATTCCAGAGTGCTTGGGTTCAATGATATTGGCAATGCGAACAGCAAATTATCGGAGAAGAGTACGGGATCGGTTCTCTTCGGATGGACCTGAAATCAAATCAATCAGTGGGTTAATGTTCTCAATCAACTATATGAGAGACATTTTATGACGAGATAATAATTACGTTTGTAATAGAAGTTAAAAGAAAAAAAAAAAAAAAGAAAATTTATTATTCGATAATAAAACAACCAAATATTTCTATAACATTAAAAATTGATAAAACAAAATGTAATTAAACCTTTCAGTGCTAAAGTGTTTTGTAGGGGTTGTAATAGTAGTAATAATAATATATGGTATAATAATTGGTAATAATAATAATAATATTAATTATTATTATTAATATTATTAATAAGATCTAATAATAAAATTATATTTATTAATTAAAACACCTTACTTTTTGTTAATCGTAGAATTATTGCTAATCGTTGAAAGAATCGTACATAAATTTTATGCTAAAGTATTTTCTACAAATGTGTGTGGTAATAGTTTATATTATTATTAATATTATATAATAAGATTTAATAATAAAATTATATTTATTATTTAAAACACCTTTTTATTTGTTAATCGTAGAATTATTGCTAATCGTTGAAAGAATTGTACATAAATTTTATGCTAAAGTGTTTTCTACAGATGTGTGTGGTAATAGTTTACATTATTATTAATATTATATAATAAGATTTAATAATAATATTATATTTATTAATTAAAATATCTTTCTTTACCTGTTAATCGTAGAATTGTTAATAATCGTTGAAAGAATCGTATTTTATTATTTTATTGAATAAATTATTGTATCACATGTCACGGTAAGAACACATGTTACACGTCGACGGATAGAAACAAACTAAACATAAATGAAATAAGTCAAGCGGTTCAAACCTATATGTAAACATAGCACGTACACACACACATACACACATACATAGAAGACTATGAGAGTACGAACGCGTTTTAACGAAAGATAAAATGTAGTAATTGATAACTTATTGAAAAGATTATTTACATAAGAAATTTTGCATACGTGAATTTTTTCGTTTTTTTTTTTTTTTTTTTTTTTTAAATACGAGAACACCACCACAAACGTTTTATCTTTTTTTTTTTATCAAATTATTTTTAGATATAAAGTCAAATTCTCATCCTTCACCTTCTACGAATTTTGCCACACTTTGTAC